GTCTCGGTTCCGGCTTGGCGTCGTTGCGTGCCTGACGGCGTTTTGTCCTCCTCGGCCGCACGACAACGACGGCGGGCCTCTACGCCGCGGCGACCTGCCTCGCCATGACATCGGCGACGGTCGTCACGGGCCTCAACGCGGCTCAGCAGCTTCGAGGCTGGCGAGGGCGAGCGCGGCGGCAAGCTGGGCATTCTGCGCAGCTGGGGCCAGCTGGGTCGCGGGCTCGGCCCCATTCTCTTCACGAGCGTGTACTGGTGGGCCGGCCGCGAGATGGCGTACGGCATGGGCGCTGCCGGCATCACTGTCGTGGCCGTCGCTGTGTTTTCTGGCCTGAAGACGCCGCCGGGGTCGGTCAAGGCCAAGGTGCCGAAGGAGAAGAAGGAGCTGTAGAGGAGGAAGCGTTTCTGGGCAGCTCGTGTTGGTCACGAAGGAGGAGCAGCAAGCGTGGTTGTCTGTCGCATGATAATGAGCATAAACTGTGGACACTGTATATGTACATGAAAAGAACGAGGAGAGACGGCTCGCGAAAAAGCAAAAGATGCATATACGAAAGACAAACTTCACCATAGACTGACTCTGGTCTGTCTTCGAGCTGGATCATGTAGCCAGCCCGAAATCCCTACCTACCTAGGTAAGATAGGGGTCGTGATGACGGTGCGGGCTGACCGTGTCAAACGGGTCATGAAAACGGTGTGGGACTGCCCTCAGCGAACGGTCAATCCACCGACGGAAGCGGCGGGCGGCAGACGAGGCGAAAACCGTGAGGCGAAACCCACTTCACTCCAGCTTTCTTTCGACCCCTCATTGAAGACATGCGGTAGTGTCTGTCTGTTTGCATTGAACCTTGTTGCCGTCTTGAAACACTTTTTTCTCATACAGGTGGAAAACGGTCGCCTTGCCAGCCGTCAGAATGCACATTCAGCCCATCGACAACCTCTCTGACATGGAGCCGTTCGTCAACGACATGCCTCAGCACATCCACATCACAGACCAAGGCGACGAGGGCGCAGGCGAGGGCGACATCTTTGACGACGTCTGGGGCTCCGCGCCAGCATCCCCCACGACGCAGACGCGTGACGCTCACTCGTCGTCTGCAGCGGCCGCGCATCACCCATCTGACATGCCCCGCCTGCAGGCCGAGCACACGACCGCCGGCTACCGCGAGGGCGTCACGGCGGCCAAGGCCCACAGCATCCAGGCCGGCTTTGACGAGGGCTACAGCCTGGGCGCCGCCATCGGGTCCCAGGCCGGCCAGATCATCGGTCTCCTCGAGGGCGTCCGCTCACGCGCTCGCGGGTCACGACGACGCCAGCTTGGCGGAGGCGGCCGCCCGAAGTGTAAAGGAGGCGCGGGACGAGCTCCAGGTTGAGAAGCTGTTCGGGCCCGACTACTGGAACACGGACGGCACGTGGAACTACGAGGTGGCGGCGAAGAAGCAAGCCGACGGAACGCAGGAGAAGAACCGGGCAGGAGAGGACGACATTCTGTTTGCTGACGTTGCTGACGCGCACCCGCTGATCGTCAAGTGGACCGAGGTCGTTGAGGCTGCAGTCGCGCGATGGGGCATCGACCGCACCGTCTTTGCCGATGTCTGTGAGGAGGAGCGTCTGGCCGCACAGGATAGAGCTGCTGCCAACGCGGGACCCCAGCAGACGAGGAAGCCCCTTGACTGGTGAACAAAGCTGGGGAGCTTCTGCAACGGGTGTGTGCCCCCAATGGCACTGTCGCCAAATCCAATCACAACAGAAGCCCGGCTGTGTAACCGGAGCTTCTCTGGCAGCCTCTTGCGTTCTGGATGGCCAGCTAGTGTCTCCTTTTTCCAGTCCAGGGGGGAGAGCCAGCCAGCCCCTCGGATTGTGGCACACGACGACATGCGTGCGGCCGGTGACACAGCGGCGTCTTAACCTTCCTGGCCACTCCCAACGCCAGCTTGTGAGGCGGCTAGTCGCATGTCACTTCTGGGTCGT